TCAGCCTGGCATAAATTCCTCTCTGTAAATGTTGAATTCTGTATTTACCTTTTGTTCGTTGTTTCTATAGGTTGTGCCCACGTGAACACAAATAAATCAGCAAATTGTCACGTGTAATATAAATCCTTATGGTTATGAGGAATGGATGGCCATGGGGCTTTGCTTATGAGACTTGTTTATGAAATTTTCAGTTCTCTCTAGACAAAGGGGAAGGCTTGATCAGCCAAAGTGAGATTTGTTATATGGTCTATTTTATATAAACTCTGTTCCTTGCATCTGAGAGTAGCTAATGAATTTGGCAGCTTCAGGTAATTATTGCTGTGCTGCTTCCAGAGATGATCCCCTTATTAAGAAAATGTTTTTAAAATGTTATTCTGTAGTGTTGCCTTTGGTAAATGATGTATTTTATTTGAAAGTGCCCTTTGGCACAGTTTCAGTAAGCAACATTTCTGTAAATCCTCTTTCCTGAAAGCTGTTAAAACCCACTCTGGTCTTAAATGTTGTTGCTTATTTTATTGAAACTTAGAAATAGAAAATATTTCAGTCTCTGTGGTATTATGAAATGATGCAAAAGTACCTTTAGCAAAATTAATATTACATATCTGTGAAGTAATACATGTAGCACATTATACTCTAACTTGGGACAAAAATTATTAATATAATTGTGCTACATATATAATTGACATATATAACTATTATATAAAACAGTTATATTAAATAGTTAATGCTGTTGAGCAGTGTTTAATAAGCATGTTACCTCCTGTTTCTTGCCTATTCATCCCTATATTAGTTGAAAAATATTTACTTTAAAATAAATTTCTGTATTCATCTCCAAAGCAGGTTAGTGTTCTGTGGCTTAGATGTTTCTAAGCCACAGAAGAAATGCCCTGCTGCAACTTTCAGGTATGGAAGCACATAGGACCCTTAAACCATTAGCTATAGGGGCAGCTAGGTCAGAAGGCCTTGAAGTCAGGAGTACCTGAGTTCAAATCCAGCCTCAGACCAAACACTTGACACTTACTAGCTGTGTGACTCTGGGCAAGTCACTTAACCCCAATTGCCTGACAAAACAAAACAAAACAAAACAAAAACCCATTAGCTATAAAAGTTATCTTGAGCTTTAATGAGACAGAGTTGGTAAAGGCATCTTTGTGCTCAACAGCTGCCAAATAAACATCTTACACACTTTGCTGTTTTTCCTGGTTCTCCTTGGCCGTCTGGTAGTGTAAACTTAAGGTGGAAATGGAGAAAGAAGACAGGACAAGCCTCTTACCTTGATCTAAATGCAGTGTTTACTTTTCCCGAAATAGGGGAGAAAACACGCTTTTCCTGTGTTTACTCATGATGTTTGCTCTTAGAGATAGTTTTAGCTGTTGGCTATCTCCAGAAATAAGCCTTGGCCTGAATATGACCTTTCAGGGCAAATGTATGAGATAGTAATTATATTTACTGGCTCAGATTTTTTAGGGAGAAGGAAAATTAAAAGTACCATTGGTTTTTAATATTACTTCTAGAATCTATTATTTTGGTTTGGGTACTACCTTCACCTATGCAGAATGTTTGTAACTTTCTGTGGCCAAATAATTTCACTGCTCTGCAGCTAACCCTGCTGATAACTCTCTGGACTTTAACTAGGCTAGTCCTTAATAAATGTATTCTATTACTGGATTTTTCTTGAAACCTTTTCATTTGGGCAAGACTTGCCCAACTTAACTTGTGGTCTATTTACCAGCCTTTGAGTACTCAAGGTCCCCTTAGTGCCACAATGAGGAATCACAGTAGGATGTTAGTAGAGATTTGATATTAAGTCCACATTGGTTAACAATGACATCTTAAGGCATTTGATCCACAACCCAAGAGCCTCTGAAGGGAATGTTCATCACAGCTTGTGTCTAGTGAAATGACTCAGATTTTTTTTTTTTAATTTTGGAAAGATGACTACAACCCAAGCTTTCATCTGGCCCTTGGTTTTCTATTATATTGTTCCTCCCCGTGATCCCAGAGTGATATCCTCTGACCCAAAAAGTAAAAGGAAATCCTATATGTGCTTAGAGATTTCCGGACTTTTGAAAGCTGGAACTTCAATAAATATACTTACTCTGTGTGTGTGTGTGTGTGTGTGTGTGTGTGTGTGTGTGTGTAGTATGTACTCCCTCTACCAGTGTTGATTACAACCCATTTATATCATGTCATCACTTTGAATTCTCATTCTTGTTCTAAAAATCCTCAGTATGAAATCAGTCAACAGACATGTATTATAAATGTCTGCTATGTGCTGGGTGCTGTTAGGCAGGGGAAATTGGGGTGATAAAAGGACAAAAAATGACCTTCCATCACACATAAAATATAGGGAGAGGGACAGAGCCCGTGATATCACTGATGCCAGGAAACTTCTGCCAATCTGAGAGGTGGTGACAAGTCCAGGGTCACACAGCACAGACCTTGTAATCAGGTCTTCTTAGCTTTCTGTTCACTCTGCCTCTCATAAATGTTAAGTACAAAGAAAAGTGACACATAAAAGCACCTTGTCAGCCTGGAAGTGCTATCTAAGTGCTGACTCTCATCGTCATTTTGGGAGGAAGGGCAGTCTAGCCAGGATCGGTAAAGGCTATTTGTTGAATTCTGAAAGACAGGAATCTAAGATGGACAGGGGATGCTTTCCAGGTGGGGGGAAGCAGCAGAGGCTAGGAGATGGGAGGGGACAGTGTGAGCAATGACAAAGCACCCATTTAGCTAGATTGGGGAATGTGGGAAGGGGAGATTAATGTATAATATGGCTAGCAAGATAGGCAGGGTCTTGGTAAGAGGGCTTCAGTGGAGTCTGAGTAATGGAGTGGCATCAGGCCCGAACTAGGGAAAAAGCACTTTGGAAGGTGAGTGGAGGATGGAGGGAAGATTCTTGGGGCCTGAAGACCTTAGGAGGCTATTGCAGTAGTTCAGGTAAGAAGTGGTAATTGAGTAAGAAGGAATCATCAAAATCATGAATGTGATATGTCAACTGAGGATATGTATGGGAGGAGGAGTAAAGTAATGTGTAGACAGGTAACTTGGGAGACTGGGAGGATGGGGGTACTTTTGACTGGGAAGTTCCAAAGGGGTGGAATTGATCACAATTTATTAGAGACTTTCCTCTGGGTCTTTTCATGTTTTGAGGGTAGGAATAGAGTTGCATGCACTTTCCATTTGGAAGTAACCTAAGCTTTTCCGAGCTGGAATCAATCATCTTTCTGATTTGTGCTAAACCTGTCTCTTGTACTTAGAATCTATTCTTTTAACTTACTGAGAATTCTTGTTGAAAAGACCAAAAACAAAAACCCAGACATAGGGGAAATCCTATTGAATTGGCACTGCTTTGTGGAGAGCAGTGTTTTATATGTGGCCGCAATCCACGCTCAGTCTTTTTATCTGATTGAAATGAGATTGTCCCATTAAGGTGTGTTGAGAGAGGATCAAGTGAAAGTAATAATAGATATTTATATGTATGGCACTTGTCATACATTTGATCTTTAGCAGAATATGAAGGAATAAGGGAAGGGAATAAGCACTTTGTATAAGGACAGAAATGACCGGCCCAGGGTCACACAGCTAGTGATTGTGGCCATTTTTGAACTTGGGTCCTCCTGACTCCAGGCCTATCGATCTATCCAGGCTGCCACTTAGCTGCCTCAATGAGGTGGGTACTATGGAAATGTGATTAAATAAATGGACCAGTTGTAAAGATAAATATACATTTTTTTAGAAAGTGATTTGTCCAGCATCTTGGTGGATAAGCCAATTTCTGGTCCTGTGTACTCCACCAGAATATTTAGTTGTTTTTTTTTGTTTGTTTGTTTTTTTAATGACATTGCTTCAGAAGTGAAAAGAACTGGTAGCCTGAAACAGATTAAGTTGTAATGTCACTTTTTTGGGTGTCTTGGTTAGTTTTGCTGAATCGATTTCCTCCTCCCTTGTCCTTTGTTGTAAGGAATGGCCCTTTGGGAGGGATAAGAGTGATACTTTGTAGCTGATGGTAAAGCAAAGATAACCGATACATTTTTTAAAGGTGGTCTATCATCAGCCCTTCAGGCAGATTTTAGGTGGTGTGAGCCAGGCAACGTAGTAAGAGAAAATCGATGAGAGTTCTATTTACTAATTATATAAATCTCCCGAGATTAATGGTTCTTGCTGCCAAATTCCTTCCAAGCCACTTTTGAAGGATGAGTCACTGGCACCTATGTGAGGACAAGGTCTTAGAAAGGAGGCTTTTGGAGAGATAAATATAGGCGGAATTAACGGGGAGGAGGAGGGGAGGGCACGTAGGTAGGGGAGAGAGCTCTGGAAGCACGGAAATATTCAATCTGAAAATTAGTTCTGAAGCAAGGGCTTATTTGTCTCCAACGGAACGACCCCAAAGAGCAATGACAAGCCGCCCCACGTCCCACGGCTGGGCCAGCCCCTTGGGAGAGCGCTACGGAACAGGTACGCTGCTCGCGTCCCGGGCGGCCGGCCCTAGCACGCCCCGGGGCAGGTCAGCCCCCTCGGGCGCCCTCCCGTGACGTCTGCGCGCGGGCCGGGGTACCCGGGGTCGCCGAGCGCGCCGGGGGGCCGGCGCCACCTGCCCACGTGCCGCCTTCGCCTCCCGCGTCTGGGGCTCCGGGGTCACAGGGCGTTATTAGCATAAGCTCCTCTCCCTCCCCGCCCCAGTCACCAGAAGCGCGCTCAGCCAATGGCGGCCGAGCAGGGGCCGAGCCCCGCGGCCTCGGCCGGCCTCCGCCCGCTCGGACTGACCGCGCGAGCCAGGCGGTTCCGAGCTCCGGCCCGGCCGGGCCGGGCCGGCGGAGAGGGGCGGGGCTCTGCGCAGGGAGCCGTGGAGGCGGGGCCGTCGCCTGGTCTCGCGCGCTGCGTCTCGCGCCGCTCGTCGGTCGCGCCGCCGGTCGTTTCTCTCTTCTCTCTCCGCCGCTGCCGCCGCCGCCGCCGCCTCCGCGGATGGGGGAGGTGGAGCCGGGGCCCACGGGCCCCCTGGAGCCGCCGGAGCCGCCCGAGGCCCCCGCCGCGAGCCACCGGGCGGGGGGCATCCGAGTCCTGAAGGTGAGGAGGGGGACGCGCATCCCGGGCCTGGCGGCCGGCCACTCGACTCCCCGGGGGCCTGGGGATCCTCGGCATCCCCTGCCCCGGGGTGGGGGCGGCGGTGGACGCCCGAAAATGTCCAACCTGCGCGGCGGGGGGGCGGGCAGGAAGGGGGGGGGTCGGTGCTGCCCAGGCAGTGAGCATTTATGAAGCGCCACTGTGTGCGGGGCGCTGATCTGAAGTGACCCCGAGCGTGAAAGTCTACAGCTGCGAGAGCCGAGTCTGACGGGGGGAGCGATGCCTTCCCTTAGCCAGCCCCCCTCCAGCGACACGAGCCGGGTGGGAGATGGGGGGGGCGCAGCTGGGCTTGGAAAAACGCGGGGGGGATAAAGGGGGTGCAGTTCAGCAACAGGCGGTGGGGCTTTGGAGGGAGGGGATGAAGAGGAAACGAAAACAGATGCAGGTAAGGGCCCTGAAAGGGGTGACCAGAAGCGCGACCTGAGGGTAGAACGGGAAAGGAAGGGCCAGGGAGGGGATGCTCAGTGGAGCATCTACAGGGAGCTCCTCGTGGAGGGTTTCCGTGGTACAGGCTGGATGTCCCCCCACCCCCCTTGCAGTGTTCAAATCAATTAGGGAAACTTGCTTTAAGTGAAATAGATGGGCAAGCCTGAATGGAAGGAATCAATCCTAGAATGGTTTGAGAAGTAATTGGTAGGATTTTGTAAGAGTTTGTTGCAGAAAAGAGATGTATGCAATATGATTTTTAAAAAATAGTTCAGGTTGTCCGTAAGGATTGAGAAAGGAGCAGGAGACCAAGCAAGAATCTTATCTTTCCGTGTTAACTGTTAGAGCACACTGGAGGGAAAAAAAGGGGGCAGATAGGGGAAATTGTTTAAGCTATGAAAAAGGATATAATTATAAAGTTATTCCTGCCACCTTCCAACGTTAGCATACTTTGCTTCTACTCTACCTCTTCCATAAACTTTTTGAGTTTTGCCATATGGTGACAACAATAAATTACAGAGTTACCTAAAGATTTCAGAATTTTTATTAAGAAATGTAAGGTAGCACAGTTGTATATTTTAGTTAAATACCGAAGTGAAGAAAAAGAAAGTTCAGCAAGGCTCTCCTTATCAGAGAATGGCAGGCCTAAAAGATAGGCATTGCCCTCTGTCCTATCAGGTAAACAAGCTGGCTTGTTTTGACTTCAGTGTAGAGCAGCTCTGGAACCGAGTACCTTTCTTGGAAGACAACTTGTCACTTAGTGCACCAAGACTTTTATCTGGGTGTTTATTTCGGAAACCATGTAACTGGTCTTAATTATACTACTCTGCTGGTGCCGTGAGAGGGTGAGGTCTCTAGAGTAATTAAGTCTCAGTCTTTACCGATTACAGTAGCCCACAGGTTGAGTAGCTCTTGCGAATAGATAGGCAGCCAATGGGAGAATGTTAAAAAGTTCCCTTAAGCAGATGAGTGGTTGCATTTTTACCAAATGAGAGTATTGTCCTAAAGGAGTTTGTAATTTGTTTAAGTGAGGGACAGTAGAGTATTCTGTTTGGGTGATCCTGAAGCTTTATCAGGGAGAACATTTTGCATGTACTTTCCTGGAGGGTTGTAACCACATATTTAAAAATTAGTATGTAGGGGCAGCTAGGTGGAGCAGTGGATAGAGCACGGGCCCTGAAGTCAGGAGGACCTGAGTTCAGATTCGGCCTTAGACCATGACACTTACTAACTGTGTGACCCTGGGCAAGTCACTTAACCCCAATTGCCTAAAAAAAAAAATTTAATTAAAAAATAGTATATACAGAATTTTAGATTTGGTAGATTTAACTTAAACGCTTCTCAGACTTAACAGTTGTTTCTCCCCATATTATAGCACTTTTTCAAGTAGATAGGAAAATATGAGTGGACTTGTGCTTTTAATAATCCTTTTTTAAAAAATGGAGAGCCTCTGTTCAAGAGAAAATAGATGTTTAGAAAGTAGGTTTTCAGCTGCTTTACACAGTCATGTTTACATTTTGCGATTCCAAGTCTATAGAAAGTGCATAAGGTTAAGGATTACTAAAATGATATTCTTATGTATGTGCTCATGAAGCTAGCTAGTCCTTCCTGATTTTAAATTTTGAATGAAAATTAACTTCACTGTTTAAAATATTTTGCATTCAGAATGTGCTAGTGTGTGGGTTTCTTTTTTCATTAGGTACTAAATGCTGTGTAGTATGCTTATTTTTAGCTTTTTTTTTTTTTTAAAGATCTGTGATGTCATGTCATTTGTGTAGGAGACTCCTAGTGAGAAATTCCCTGTCCTGTAGCAATGCTGATTGGTTCCTCTGCCAACTTAGTCTTATTGAGGTTCTTGGAGCACTGAAAGCTTTAAATTTCTTGCCCAGGGTAATAGACTCTGTCTGAGGGGAGATTTAAACAGTTTTTCTTGATTCTGAGGTCAGCACTCTAGGATGCTAAACTCCTGTATGGCAGTAAATTGAGTGAGTGTTCAGTGCATATCAGCTTTGACCTGATCCCTTCATTCCTTTTTTAGCCTAGGATTTCTGTTCATTTTCCTCTAGTTAGAAATATAAAACTGAAATGGTAAATACCGAACTGCAATTCTTGGCTGAAAAGGTTTATTTTCCAGAAGTATCTTGTGAATCTTAAATATTCTCTTTGTATACTTCTCTTTTGTAAAGGTTGGTTACAGCCTTATTTTCCCTTAGATGAGCTGTTTGCACAGCAGCACATGTATGAGACTGTAGGGATAAAATGTTATGTTTTTGACAAAAAAGAGTGTTCCTAGTCTAGTGAGCATCAAGGAACATGGTGACTTTAAAAGCCAAGAACCTCCCAAAGACAATCTGATTGACAACCCAAGATGCTTAGGACATTTCAAGCAGTAAGCCAGTACTTAGAGCCGTGAAGCAGGTAAATTCAGAAAGGAAGTAAGCATCAGGTAATTCATTGATACCTCTTTGAGTCTTATGGGAGCACAGCACTGGTAGGTTTTTGCCAGAAGAACTTAGCTTACTTAATATCCAATGTTTTTAGTATGGTTGTGAATCAGATTAAGAGAACTGGGAAAACATACAAAAAATTAGAATTCAACACTTTTGTGCTGTAGAGTTGCATTGATGTGCATTGTGTATTGAGGGAAAAAATTTTTTTGTCTTTGGGATAAAGCATTACATAGATGGATAATCTGTGTTGTAGACATCAGATTTTGTGTTCACAGTACTTAATACAAGTGGGAATGGGTTACATTGACTTATAGAAGATATTTCCTGCTTTCAAAGAATTTATAATTTTGAGATTACTTCACTTTTTCAATATATCTGTGATTTCATCATGGTTAGTATCACCAGTCCAGGTGGTAATCCATCCTTATCTTATATGATTTTTTTCCCCATTTCTTTACATAAATCCTGACAGAGGATTTATCCCAAGTGATAGAAGCCACCTTCTAATACTTTTAATATTTTGTGGGTACTGGTGCAACATATCTATCTTTTATCCTGTACATGACTGATCCACCTCTTTTTCTCATCATAAACATTTTTTGCATGAAGAAGAAGGAAATCCAGACCTGTGTGAGGTACTTGGTTATAGGGGGTGGGTAGATGGTCATGCAGAGCAGAAAGGGAAGAAGGATCCCTTAGCACTGGAAAGGAACTAGATACTCTGAAGTAGTAACTGCTTAGTCTCTAAGGAATGTTAAGGTGGACTACATACATGATCTGTAAACAAGAAATCAGTAAGGGTCAGAGGAAGAAGAGCTGGTTAGTTGCATCTAGTATGAAAACACAGTTAATCTAAACAAAGATCTGGTGGTTTTAGTGGACCACAAGTTTAATATGAGTTATCAGTAGGATGTGGCAGCCAAGAAAGCTGATCTAATCTTAAACTGTATTGAGAGGGATAATTGAGGTGATGTCCAGGACTAGGGAGGTGGGTTGTCCTGTAAGTACTCTGTCCTGATCAGACTACATCTGAAGTATTATGTTCAGTTTGGGAATTTTATTGATAAGCCACAAAGTGTTCAGAGGAGGGCAGTTAGCCTGGTGAAAGGCCTTGAGTTCATGCTATGTAAAGATGAGTTGAAGATATTGGGGATGTTTAACAGGGAGAGGAGAGGACTTGAGGGGAGAATGACACAGCTGTGTTCAAGTATTTGGAAGGCTGTCATAAGGAAGATGGATAGACTAGTTCTTTTTGGCCCCAGAGTTCAGAACCAGTAGCAATAAGTGGATGTTACAAACAGCCAAATTTATGCTTGATATTAGGAAAAATTTCTGAACCATTAGAAAGAGCCCAGAATGAATGGGCCGCCCTTGATAAGGTAGGGTGTTCTTCCTTTTCTGGAGTTCTTTTTAAAGCAAAATCTGGATGACACTTGTCAGATATGTTCTAGAAAGGATTTTTGTTCAGATTTGGGTTGGATTAGATGGATACTGCTTACTGAATAAATGTAAATTACTGACAATAAAAAGCCCTCAAAAAAGAAGAAAAAAAATATAGAATTAAAAACATGTTGACTTGGGACTTTTAATGATTTATTTAGAATTCCCTGAGCTCTGAGCACCATTTTAAAAGCTTTTTGAAAAATATTCTGGGAAAATCGCAGAATTTGAGAGTTGGAAAAGACTTCAGTGGCCATTTAATCCATATTTAAAAGGTAGCTCTACTGTAAATGAGAAAGTAGCTGTAAAGTCCTTAACACAATGCCCAGCACATAGTAAGTAGGTGCTTAATAAAATTCTTGTTCCCAGTTCTCCCCCTGGCAAGGGGTTATCCAGCCTTTGAAGACCTCCGTTACCTCCAAAGGCATCTCACTTAATTTTGGGACAGCTTTAATTATTAAGAAGTTTTTTTTCTGAAATGAGTTTTGGCATAATTGGTTTCCTGCTGTATATTCTAGCAGTGATCAGGTCTTGATTGATGTTAACTCCTTTATGGAGGGAGAGGAAATGAAAGATTATTTGAAATCATCTGAATTATAAGTAAAATGGAGAAGGATCTAAGCAACC